GCAAAGAATACCAGAAAGATGTTTACTTGTGTTTTATTGACTATGCAAAGGTATTTGATTGTGTGGATCATGGCAAATTATGGATAACGTTGAGAAGAATGGGAATTCCCAAGCACTTGATTGTACTCATGAGGAACCTCTGTACCTTGACCAGGAAGCTGTCGCTCGAATGAAACAAGGGACACTCATTGTCGTTGTGGTTATGTGCCGTCGAGTCGGACCCGACTCATAGCGACCCCTCCTTGGGTTTCCGAGGCAGTATCACTACAGAAGTAGATCGCCCCATCTTCCTTCCAAGGAGTGGCTGGTGTGTTTGAACCTCCAGCCTTCTGGTTAGCAGTCAAGTGCCTTAGGCACACTGCATGGTTTAAAATCAGGAAGGGAGTGTGTCAGGGTTGTATGCTTTCCCCATACTTATTCAATCTATATGCTGAGCAAATAATCCAAGAAGCTGGACTATATGAAGAAAAACGTGACATCAGGATTGGAGGAAGACTCATTAACAACCATTAGAGGAGACCATTCTCTGGAGAAGGATATCATGTTTGGTGAAGCAGAGCATCAGCAAAAAAGGGGAAGGCCTTCAATGTGATGGACTGACACAGTGGCTGCAATGATGGGCTCAGGTATAGCAAGGGCTATCATACTGGTGTGGGACCGGGCAGTGTTTTCTTCTGCTGTACGTAGGGTTACTGTGAGTTGGAACCAACCTGAAGGCACCTAGTAACAACAACAGCAGCAGCAGCAACAACAAATATATATTTGTTGTTTATATATATATGCACTCACACATACACACACACATATATAATCAATAATCACATCTGTATATATTCTTCTTCCTGCCTGGGTTTCTTTACCCCTTCTAATCTTTGTTGTGAACACTCATTTATTGTTCAGTTCAACTCAGACATTATTTTCTCTACAAAGCTTATTCACATCCAACCAGAATTAATTCTGACTCTCTGTTACCTATGAAAATTTGTTGCTTATCTGTTTGATTCATACACAAAACTATGAGGACTTTCAAATAAGAATCATCTTTGGTCCTTGGATTCCCAGGAATTAGTGTAGAACCTAAAAGACAGTCAAATTAAACTGTGGTAGAACGTGTAGAGGAACATGGCGAAGAAAATTTGGATAAGCAAGGAGAACTAGCATTTACATTTAAAAATATCAAAAGAGAATTTATTTAATCTGGCTCCCATGTGATCAAGTTTGATTTCAGTTATTTTGTCTTTTTATTTTATTTATATCTAGGTCAGATTATTAATATCTTTATCACATTTGTGAAACTGAAAACTATAGTTAAACAGCTTGGCTAGATGTCCAGAAAAGACATAAGCCTTATTTCTCTCCCTTGTTTGTCAGAAAGGGTTAGAAGTCAATGTTTAACAGATGGCAGATCTGTCTGCCTCTTTCTAAGGCACTGTTCTCCTTAGTGTGTAAACATTCAAGTGCGATAGCAGTGTAGAATAATAGTTCCAAGTTAGAGATAACTTTTAAACATTGTTTAGCTTTGTGCCATAATTGGTTAAAATCCTTTACTTCACAGAGGTTAATGAGAATCTGCAAGCATAGTGGAATGGGAAATACTGAAATGTGTTTTATATGCCTTGTTATAGTAAGTCAGCTGTGGTGAGCAGAAAGGTTATTTTACAAACTGCAATGCAGTAAAAAAAAATGAACCTACATTCTCTCTCTCTCTCTCTCTTTTTTAATGGAATGAGACACAAGAACCAAGCTCTGAGTCAGTTGTTCCTGTGAACCCTGACTACGTTCATCATACTATTAACCTATTTGATGATTTTTCAGAGAGAGGCATGAGAGAGCAGGAGAGCGAAAGAATAAGAAAAGTTGCTAGCCCCAGTCGTGCAATTTCTCTGAGTTTCAGTGTTTTCATTCGTGAAATGAGATTTTGGATTAGGTCTTTGTTGTGATTATTTATAGTTCTGGACAGATTTGGTGTGGGGGGAAGAGGAAAAGGAAAGGAAGAAGAAAGGGTAGGATTGAGAGACAGGCATTGTCAGATGCTTTATGTGGCTGTTAGGCTTACATTTTTGTCCTTGGTCACTGTGGTGAGAAAATCCTTATGATTGATGGTCAATTAGTCAAATGATCATCAAAGTAGTCAATCTATCAGGACACTATAGAAAGCTGAGATAAAGCCTATTCTACTTACTTGGCCATGTTGTGGCAATTAGTGCAGTCAGGGCTTGAGGTATGGTCAAAGGCTTCCTATAGGAAACCAAGTCAAACTTGATTCCCTAAGTAGTTTTGACACTATATGGCATAATGTCCAATAATGATGGTCACTTAGTAAATGATGGCCAATAAATTAATAGAACTTGATGGCTGTTGGAAGTGGAATTTCAGTGTTTGGCTCTAAACATTGTTGTCATTGATAAACTTGACTTTGGAAGTAGGTGTTTCTCTTCCATTTGGTTTGCTGAGGATACTGAAGATGTGAGCCCATTCAGATGAAGGGTGCCTTTTATCCTATTTTTCTTCAATTTTCCATTGCTTGCCCTATTTACTATGGATACTCTGTACTTCAGGCCTAGTAATGGAAATTGAAATATTGAGTTAGAAGTATGGATATTTATTTCGAGACATTTGTCTTTACCCTAAAGAGAATCATGTAAACTACCCAACCCTGCTCCTCTTATGCCCTCAAACCACACACAACTAACATTTTGGTTACTTGAATGATTTTTTTATTCAGTCAGTGCAATCTAGGTTTGAATCCTGGTCTGAAATTTACTGTGTCAAGTTTAATTTGTCTTCAAGTTTCTTTTTTCTCTGTAAAATGGGGAGAATGAACGTTTTTTTACAGAGCTAAAATTAAGATTAAATAAGAAATGTGTGTCCACAATTTGATTTAAAGTTTCAATACTAGGAAGTTAGTACCATCTGTATCCTTTGAACTATTTCAAGTTCTGTGATTTCTTTATAAAATAAAAAAAAAATAGTACTCTTTTTCTTTCAATTTTTGGAGAAGAGTACCAAAAATTGAATGACTACCAAAAAAGGAATGAAAAAGGTGAACATTATTTATTTATTTTTCTTGGTTGTTTTATTTTATTAATGAAACTATGATCTGCAATGACACATGAACTATATTATACTCCTCTATGTCTATATACTGAAAGGGCAATAATGGTGTAATCCAGATTACATTTCAAAATGCTTGGATTCTGGGAAGTACCACATAACATACAGTTTCTCCTCATCCTTGCATCCTAAAGGAGTCTTCTTTGATGAAGGGTGCTCTGTACTTCTCACTCTATAATATAACCAAAGAAGGTGGGTTTGGTAAATACATACAGCTTCTAAAATAGGATAACACTATTCTTTCTTGGTGTATTTGGTAGGAAAGAGGGAAGTAGGGAAGATGAGATTATAAATATAATTTTATCAAGTTTAGTATGGTCTCCTGTAAATTTCCCTTCAATATTTTTGTGCTTGTTTCTAATTGTCTGCTAGTGTGCTGTGCTAGCAGACATCACAAATGCTTGAGAAAGAAATAATTCAGAGGCTTTAGAAGATGATTCTTAATTCATCAGATTTCTTGGAGGTCGGAGGCAGTGTTAGCATGTTATTCAATATTATATATATATATAATCTTATATATATATATAGTCTACTTTCCACAATAAAATCCTTCTGAGTATATGAGTTCAAAGTGGATGAACATTATTTTTGTTTTCTAGTTCTCCATCAGGCATGATAGAAGGTACCCCACAGCTTCATGCAAATGCGTGGCGAGTTTCCTCCACTTGTTTTGCACCTGTTCATGTCCCTGTGGTGGACCCCTGTAACATTAATCAACAAAACAGTAAGCCTTCTTTTCTACATGTAAACATAGGGAAACATTCTATTTATTACTATATTTCTTAAAATTAAATAATGATTTTATATTCTAGGTTTCTTCATTATGATAAAATCAATGCCATTCCATATTCAATTTTGATTAATTGTATGCCTTTATGAGTAACTTTTTATGTACTCTAGGTTCTTTTAAAAACAGAACACCAAAAAGTGACTATTTTGTTTATCATTTTGCATTCAAAAATTTACTTTAGATATTCAGAAATACCGTCTTCCCAAATGGGAGCTAGATTCTTTTAATACTTTCAGATTCTTTAAATGTTAAAGAAAAATCTCTGAAAATATACTAGTAAATTTGTTATAGTTATGGGACATTCTACTGCGATTCTGTAGTGTGACAGCTCATGTGGCTTCTCACGCTCATTACCTTCATTTTTGAGCCCCTAGTCAAAGCATACATTATAGTTTCATAAGCAAGAAGTCAGTGATCCAAGGACACTTTATGCCATCAAATGGACAGCAATTTGAGATAGTTGTTCTTCATCCAATTTGCAATGACAATGCAATTCACATGCCAGCGATTTTTTGGCCATATTTTCACTAAGTCACAGCAAACTGACTGCTCACTAAAAGAGGACTTTATTGGTTCTCTTCTTTTCCCCATCCCTTTTTTTAGAATCACTGTGTGATAAAAAAAGATAATGTGAATATTTAAATACATTTTGTTGTAATTTTGATTTGTTCTTTGATAAAAGAATTAATAAATAACATGTTTATTTAGTTAAATAATGCTTTCCCCCCCATTTTATGTAGTTTTTTTAAAATACATGACTAATATTGGATGAGCATTCATTAGAAATCAGTACAAATTTGGATTTAAAAGTGATTTTTGGAGGTTTGTGGTAGTTGTCACATGATCTTTATTATTAACTTAGAGTTGGTGCAGTGGAAAGAACACAAGATTATTAATCTTCTTGGCCTTTTTTTTTTTTTCTATCTACAATAAAAAAGCTGGACTAAATTTCTGTCTATGAGTTAATGCTTTTAATCGCACTCAATTGACTCCTTCTCCATGAACTAGTCTTGTTCAGTTTGCTTCTTTCTCACTTCCCTTTTTGACATCACAGCAACTCAATTTCACATGACCTTTTGCTGTATTATCTATCACTTTTCTTCCCGTGACACATCTCCTATCACATATATTTCTGATATTACATCTTTACCTGTGCTATGAAATATTTTTTTCTTTTTTCATTTCAGTGAGTAAATTCAGGAAGAACTACAAAGAAAGGAAAGTCTGTAGATAAAACTTAATAATTCTGATGTGGATTTTGAGAAATTTTTTGCACAGAGTTTTTCTTGATTTACTCTTTTACTTGATGCTAATAGGAATATTTTTGGCTTAAAAATCCTGCATTTGAAGTCATATAGATTGGGATCTGTATTGTTTTATAAAACTTGGTTACTACCATGAATAATCAGTGATTCTCAAATGTAAAACTAACAAATTTTAAGAAGTTTCTATACAGGACCTCCAAAATGGCTTGATAGGTATGTCTCCTGTTCTTTAACATATGTTCCAATCCCTAGATTCTATTCATCATTCATTTATTCATGCATTAATAGATTCACTTATCAAATATTTTTGAGCTCCTATTATATGCTAGACATTGAGGTATGGTTAAATGACTACTTAGTATCTGCCACATTACCTACATTCACTCAGACTCTGTTGGAGTAAAATTATCCTCAGTCATTCTGGCTTAATTGTGGATTCTAAGACGTTGTCACAAAATCCATGATCTGTCACCACTTTTATTGATGTTTGGATGCCTGTAGATAAACCTCCTAATACTCCCTAAGTCTTTATATGAGGTTTTCTCTGGTAGCATAGTGGCTAAGACACTTGCCTGCTAACCAGACGGCTGGCGGTTCAAACCCACCAGCCACTCCCCGGAAGGAAGGTTGGGCAATCCTACTTCCGTAGTGATACTGCCTCGGAAACCCAAGGAGGGGTCGCTATGAGTCGGGGCTGACTCGACGGCACATAACAACAACAACAAAGATGATCCTAAGACAATATGGTATTTAAAGTCATTGCTGCCTTCAGCCTTCTGTTACTCATGTTGCTCATGTATAATACAATACACTTTTTTTTTTTTTTTTTGTAAAGGACTAGTAAATATGGATTAAGTGCTGTTACTAATGTTACAAGAAGAAAAAACAAAATCCTGTATAATCTGAAAATAATGGCATTCTTGTTTTAAGTAATACACTATAGTAGAAATTAAGAGGCTTAAATAGTTCTGACTTGATAATAAAGGTCTGATCTGGACTAGAGAATGAGGTGCTAATGAAGTTCTTTGTCTGATAGTCGGGTATGCAGCACACTGTGATGTCATCCACCAGGAGCTCTTTGCTCCTTGCCATTTCTACATTAGCCCCGGGCTGTACTATCAGCTATGCAGACATGATGCATGCAAGTGTGGAAGTGCCTGCCTATGCAATGCTCTTGCTCACTATGCCTATCTCTGTGGCCAGCGTGGTGTTTCCATTGATTTTAGAGCTCAAGTTTCATTCTGTGGTGAGTACCATGGCACAGATTAAAAACTCTCAGGTAACGCTTTAGAGAGTTTTGCTTTTGTAACTGCTACCTTCATTTTTCAAATGAAAAGTCCACAGTCAATATTGCATATAAGTTATTCTAAACTTCTTACAATGTGTGAACATGCAAAGAAAATGAAAAACTTAATTTCTTAAAATTGGAGATATGTTGAATAAGAACAACTTTTGACAATTTTTGTTAAAAACGAAATTGGAGTGCAGCTATATGTCTTGAAATATGCAACAAAAACAACTTAGTAGCTGCCATATTAAAAACGTAAAAAATTCTTACGGAATTCTCATATCTAAATATTAGCAAGTATAGAAAAATATTATGCAATATAATTTCACAGGTGATTTGTAGTTATATAGGTAAGTTGTGAAAAAGGCAATTATCTCGAATTCTTGGGGTGCTAATCCTCATGGCTAGTGGGTCTGCTGACTCATTCATGGTGAATTATTTCCTCATGTGTTCTATAATTTCTTTTTTGTGAACTACTCGTTAGTAGGTCTTTTTATTTTTGGTAAGAATATTTTGTGGTCCTGATTTTGAGAGCATCCCTTCACCCACCCTTTACCACCCAGTGGTTTAACAAAACTTTTTTCAGACATTCCAGGAATATCATTTGCCAGTTTTGGTATTAATTTCTCACCTTGGGTTTTCTAAGACAAAAATAACATAAATAGAAGAATAATATAAATTCAGATACCAACTGCAGGATTTTTATTTCTCAGAAAATACTTCATCACAGACCAGGTAGAGTTAGATAAGCTTTCCTAACATCTTCCCATACTGTGAGAAGATTTCCTCTAGACTACAGATTGCAAAACTACAAATTTTGGGCCACCTGTGTTTTTGTAAATAAAGTTTTATTGGAATACAACTACCTTCATTTGTTTATATAGTCTATGGCTTCTTTTGTGCTACAATGATAGAGTTAAGTAGCTGTGGCAGAGATTGTATGGCCTGCAAAGCCAAGCAGTATTTATCATTTGGCCCTTTACAGAAAAAGATTGGTAATTTCTGCTTTACTTCATTCTTTCAATTGAAGTTGAAGTGCTTTGAGGATCCAAGTTACAGGTCTCCCAGTTCCTTGACTCATAAATGACCCACTTTCATCTTCCATTTCCATATGCACTAAATCTAAGATCTTAGATTGCTGGAATCCATCTTCTCTTCCCCTACTCACTTAAAGTCAGGGATTTTATTTCCCTCTTCACTTAGCCACCTGAGAATTCTGTTTCCATTCCCCTATTTTTTCTCAGAAGGTCAACTATACTTCAGAATACTTTCAGTTACTTTTTCATCCAGCATTTGCTAAGTGTCTGTAGTAAGAATGCTTTCAAATTATTAGAGTTTTTCTACTGTCATCAGTTCAGTTTTGCCCAAAGAGAAACTCTCAAGCTTTCTTAAAAAAATATATAAATATGATTAAGAAGGCAGAAAATAAGAGTCATGAGTATAGATAATAAAGTCAGGTTTTGTGTTATTTGGAGAAAACTAAAATTTCCTTTTAGTATAAATAATGCTGTAAAGAAGATGATGGTGGTAGAGGAGTAAATAGACTTAAACTGTGAGGCCAAGTAATTTATTTAGACAACAAACAAACAAACAAAGCCTTAAATAAAATTTATGGTATGAGCTATTAAATAGTGTTATGAAATATCACACTTACAGTATTTTGAAATAAAATTTAAATTTTTCTGTTACAGTTCTAGTTTGTCATAGAATTGGTTTTTTGTATTTCTGGTCCGGGATTCTGTAATGTTCTGTTCCTTGAGGTAGGGAGGGTGTCATTTTTTCCACGATTCACGTCTATCACAGGCCTTTAACCAAAGAGAAGTTACTTCTGTCCTCTGTGGAAACCTTTCACCAGTGCCATTCCTTGCTTCTTAGCTGTGGTGTGCCAGAGAGGCATGCTGTACCATCACTGCTCCTCCTTTTGCCTGCGATCCTGTGCTTTCCTCTCCTCCCTGGAGCAGTGTAATGATGATTGTGCTGAAGGCTGTAACTGTCCTGAAGGCAAATACTATGAAGACACCCTTAGTTTTTGTGTGCCCATGTAAGTCACAGAAATAGGTTGACGACAGCTACTCTTTAATCTTTTTTTTCCTCTTATGGACTGCATGGTCTTTCTTATTTCTTAATATCTTTTTTTTTTTTTTTAAACCTTATGTGTTTACAAATAGCTATAGAAAGCACTACAGAATCTGATGGTTATTCTCGAAGTTTGTTCCTAACTGCTTTTGCCAAATCAAAATGAACAAGTTTTATGTTTCACTGTCATGTGGAAACTTTAATAGCATGATATATTTGTCTGCACTCAGAAATTTCTCAACTCTCCCATGAGATAAAGACATTTGTCTTATATATATAGTCATCTCTAAAGTGCACTCAGAGATTTTCTTGTGTGTTACATTTTAGAAAACAAAATCTGAGATCACACAAGACTTCACAAATAAATGCTTTCTGTCATTGGGTAATGTGATTATGTGTATTCTCATAGAATACTGCTGAAATTAACTACAGCTTAAAACAACCAATACAGAGCTTAGGGTATGCTTGAATATTTAAGTTCTTTTTCTTTTTAATTTAAAATTTATACCTTATTTTATTAACTTAAACTTTTTTTGGTCCCCTATACAGATTTCATTGCCGCTGTCATTATAAGGGCAGCATTTATCAACCTGGAGAGCTGATCCCCACACCCTCAGGCTTATGGTAGGTTTCAGTGATGGTGACTATACTTGAAAAATGACAAAACTATAAATTAAAATATGATGTCTGTAATTAAAAAAATAAACATAACCCCAGCATTACCTTTAAAGCCATACAGGTACTACATTTCAACATGGAACACCCAAGTATTAACTTAAAACTGTGCAAAAGAGTTGTGAGTTTAAGTGTCTCACAAGGTGAAAAGGAAACCCTTTGATCAGTTTTAATTCTTAGATAAAAGAAGTGAGGTGGGTGTTCAAATACTATGTGTTTCTTAGGTGGCTTTAGTTCTTTAGTTCAGCTACTCACTCAAAAAGCAACTTCCAAATGGACTTGGACACTGTCACACACTGCAGTAATTGTACCTCCTCCCCAGGGTCATCAGTCATAAGGAGCTGTGGTGGCATAGGGCCTAGGGCATTTGACTGCTAACCAGAAGGCTGGTGGTTCAAATTCACCAACCACTCCTCGGAAGGAAGATTGGGCATCTACTTCCATAGAGATACCACCTCGGAAACCCAAGGAGGGGTTGCTATGAGTCAGATCTGACTTGACGACAGTGAGTTTAGTGAGATAATACTCATTCATGAGATAACATTTGCTTGAGTTGTAATGTATCTGTTAAATTTCAGTTACCTCTGTGCAGCCGTCCACACCTATCTATACCCATTTCCTAACCTCCCTCTCAATTGCTCCAAATGTACCTGCAGATAATAGTAGACAGTGGATAATAGTAATAATAATAATATAACAATGTAATGATAATAGTGCTCTCTGATCTTACTGCATACCTGCTATGGTTCTGACACCATTCTAGGTGCTCTATATCTATTAAAATATTATTCATCCCAGTAATCTTAAGAGATGTATCCCAGTTTATAGATGAAGAAAATGAGTCACAGAAGAGATAAATGACTTGTTTAAGCACAGATCACATAGCTGGTTGGTAACAAAATTGGGATTCACTTCCGGGCTGCCTGGATCTGCAGTGCTTGCTCTGCTGCTGGCCTTGCTCTACAGCTTGTTTTGTGTTCACAGCAGATTTTTATTAATACTCAATTTACATTTATCATTTTCTCTATCTCCCTCCCACCACCAGATCAATATACAAAGGCAACCAACTCTTGCCTGTTCTCTAGTAGATAGTATTAATATCTAGAGTTTCCTAAGAGGAGTCAGTTTTGAGTCTTACCTCCTGCTCTTTCCTCGCTTAGCCAATACATCCCCAAAGACTGCAAGCTTTACTTTCTACTTAAAGTTCAAATCCATTCCTGCTTTCCATCACATTGCCTTAGCAATGTGGCTAGCCCTCTCTCCCTTGGACCTTCCTAACTTGTGTTCCCTCTAATCTTGCTCCTTTCCATTTTACCAAAGGGTCACATCTCTCTTTGATTTAAATGAATTGAATTTATTTATTTAAACTTGGTGAAAACAAAGAAAGCATTTATCACTATGAGGAAAAGAAAAATTAATTAGTATGGGTGACCTTAATTGCCATTCCACTCAAAAAGCCTATGTCCCCAAATGAGTCTGATATGGGAGTTCTGGATCTGTGGCTTTTCCCTCTCTCCCTCAGTTCTGTGCCATTTATGGTGTGAGTGAATCATCTCTCTCAATTCCATTCTGGTGTTGAATGATGCATAAACATATTTTTCATATGACGTGGCTCTTATGTGTGAGTTCCTTCTTCATCAGGACTCAACTACTGCACACATAGTCTGGTCCAAAGCTGGAGGAAAAACTAGTGATAGTTGGTGTGCTGCTCTATCATCCTAAGGGATATTCAAAATTAATTTTGGTTATATTTGGTTTTTGCCTTATGCCCAGCTTTAGAACTTAAATCATAAGGGAAATGTAACTTCACTCTATCTTCCATATTGCTGCTAGAAAAAAATTTTTCTAAAATTCAAATCCAACTATATGTCACTTCTTTGTTGAGCACCTTTAATGGCTTATGTAAAGGATAGAATCTTAGCTTTCTAATAGGAGCTGGACTGTGGCTGTTTTGCCATCCGCATCTCCTGTCACTTCTCCCATTATCACTTACGTTACATAGCACAATGTTTTCCCCTTCATGATTTTGTATGTCCCTACGACACATTATAACCCATTTCCTAACCTCCCTCTCAATTGCTCCAAATGTACCTACAGATAATAGTAGACAGTGGATAATAGTAATAATAATAATACAACAATGTAATGATAATAGTGCTCTCTGATCTTACTTATTCATATCATAACCAAAAACAAGACAAAACAAAACAAACAAACAAAAAAACCAAACTCACTGCCGTAGAGTCGGATTTGACTCATAACAACCCCTCCTTGAGTTTCCAAGGCAGTATCACTATGGAAGTAGATTGCTCAACCTTCCATTCAAGATTTATATTATCATCTCCCTTCATTCTTCAATACTTTTCAAACTTCATTTCCTTTGGCTGCCCTGATGTTAGCTATCAACAGATTTTAATATATTTTTCCTTATTTTACTTTCATATCTTAAACATAATTCTATGTTGTATGTGTTATCCCGTGTAAAGTTTATTTATATGTTTTTCTCTAGTACTAGAACACAATCATTAGAACAAAGACTACGAATCCTGGTCTTTGTATCTCCAATGGCTATCATAGATATAAGTGCTTATACGTATGGGTGTTGGATAAACATTTGTTTGACTGAAATAAAGCTGAGCCATTAACTTAAGTGTAAGTTCAAAATATGCCTAAGCTAATAGCTTATTAATAAACTGTTCTTAGGGCAAAAAAATAACATTTGTATATGTACTCAATCAGTTATTGTACATTAGATTGTTTTTGATATACAGAAAAACTGACGTTTGGGTTCATAAATTAACTATTTGTTTACTTCTACTAGCCAGTGTTCAAATGGAACTGTGCAATGTGATGAACCAGCAACACCCTCTACTGGTAAGATTTAGGCATTTTCCTTAAGGAGAAGGTTGCTTCTAACATTGCCCCATTCTTCTGGCAGACATCCCTCATTGGTCATAGCCCTCCTTGCCACTGCACATGAATGTAGCCTTGGGAGAGTTTCTCAACATGGTCTAGTGCTTCCTAATTTTTCACATTGAGAATTATTGTATTTGGGACAATCTTGGGTCAACAGAGAAGGCTCCTTAAGAGCAGAGCTGATCAGTTCAGGGATGCTGCCTGCCCTAAGACCAAGCAGCTGCTCCAAGAGCTGTAACGTCTGTATCTAGGCACTAGTCGTGACCTATGAAGTTGGCACAGAAGTTGGCAAACTCTACTCTAGATCAGTACTTTTCAGATTTTAATAAGAATCACCTGGGTGTTCTTGTTGAGATGCATATTCTGATTCAGCAGGCACCAGTGGTCCCTCAAATTCTACATTTCTAAGTATGGCAAAGATAATGCAAATGCTGATGGTTTCTGTACTACATTATTTGTAACAAAGCTCTAGGGGCTAGTAGCAATCAATCAAAAATGATATGTGGAATGAGATGTACTGCCATCTCTCTCTGTCGCTGTGTTGTGAAGTGCCGTCGAGTCGGACCCGACTCATAGTGACCCCTCCTTGGGTTTTAGGCAGTATCACTACGGAAGTAGATTGCCCAACCTTCCCTTCTGAGGAGTGGCTGGTGGGTTTGAACCACCAGCCTTCTGGTTAGCAGTCAAGTGCCTTAGGCACTATGCTACCAGAACTCCTCCATCTCTCTCTAGACCATCCTTTTTCAGTTAACTATCTTTCCTGAAGATCCCATATGTTAGAAGGCTCTGTTGTTGTGTGCTGTTAATTCTACATGGACTCATAGCAACCCTATAATGTTGTTGTTGTTGTGTGCCCTGTAGGAGGAGTCACTATATATTGTTTGGGAGTTCTGGTAGCGTAGTGCCTAAGGCACTTGATTGCTAACCAGAAGGCTGGCAGTTCTTACCCACCAGCCACTCCTTGGAAGGAAGATTGGGCAATCTACTTCCATAGTGATACCACCTCAGAAACCCAAGGAGGGATCGCTATGAGTCAGATCCAACTGGAGGGCACATAAAACAACAATAACACATATTGTTTATTTTTACTACATCTAAAGCCTCAAGTTCTTAGCCCCTGTTGAAAAATTCTAGGCATTTAACAACAATGCTTTCACTGATTTTACTGGACAGGAAGAATATGTATTAATAAAAGGAATTGTAAGCTATTGCTTTGCTATTTATTTGAGTGGTCATGTATATATTATTATAAAGTAGCTTTGAATTTATGTCCCTATATTTACTTCATGAGGATTCATGCCATCCTAGTACTGCTTTCAGGGCAATGTTATATATACCGTCAGGGACTCCACACGTATTCAGTAGTTGTTTGGCATTTTGTTCTTTTCCCTGTTTGCTTCAGGATGACTCAGAGTTTCAAAAAGGGGGATGGCAGGTGGAGGGATTTACAAGTGTCTACTCCAGCCTGGTTTGATCTCTGACAGCATGAAATCTTCCCAGAGGAACAGGGTAGCCCTTCTCCTGGCTACAATTACACCTGCTCCTGCGCTTCTACAGTACAGCGAGGACTAATCTAAATAGTGACTACTCAAAAGTGGAAGTATCAGGTGCTCATTGTGGCTTAGTAAAAGTTTAAATTCTTAGTCTTTAGAATTAATAATGCATATTTGGATGAATCAAAATACCCTGTTTCTTGACCTCAGAAAATTATTTACTAGTTGTTTAATTACTGCCTTATGGAGGGCAGCTAAGGATTTCCGACTCAAAACAGGTTTTGGAAACATAGGAGACTAAAGAGAATCTGTCTAGGAAATGTTTGTAAGCACATCAACCAAAAATCACAGGGTAAGAGTTTTATCTAACAACAACTGGTAAAACACTCTATTATGAATTTTGTTTTGATGACAAATGCATGTCAGTATGAGTATTTGTCTATGGGTGAATAAGAAGTCAAGAGTATTTCATCTGTATTTTTGATCTCTGAAGTTCGTGCCTGCCCAGAAGGAAAACAATTCTTTGACTGCAGATTTCCTGACCCTGAATTACCAGCTGGTGGTATAAATTGTGAGACTACATGTGCAAACCTGGCCATGAACTTCACTTGTGCCCCATCTTCACCCTGTATAAGTGGATGTGTTTGTGCTCCAGGGTAAGCCAATTTTTCTTGGTAATACGGAACTTTTGGGATTTGAAAGAAAGGCATGTAACTCTTAAATACATTATTTACAGAAAGAGCCAATATTGCTTTTAGAAGAACTATTATAATTATTTTGCTATGCTCATCTAACATCGTGACATAATATTAAAGTAATACATTGAATTGAGGAGTGAACTGATTTCTGGATGGACTTGACATTTATTCCCCAATTCAAATGCAATTTTGGGAAAGTAGCTCAATTAGCCATTCCTAATTCAAAGTACTTTTAAACACTGATCTTTTATATATTCTCTTGTGCTGGCACTGTTGTTGATGTGAAGCTATAATATTGATGCCAACATCTTTGTCTTATGGATGTTACTTAAAATAAAGTGCATATTGAGGCTACATAGGGCAATGGTTAAGAGTGAGGCCCCAACTTCAGACACACTGCAGTTCAAATCCCAAATCTGTTGCTGTTAACTGAGTGATTTTTCTGCAAGTTCCCTGTAAGCAACAACTAGGAATTGTGAGGTGTGTGTGTGTGTGTGTATGTATGTATATACACACATACATTCACACATAAATATTCAGTAATTGAGTCACTATTATATAACAGAGTAATATACTTTCATCTTCATAAAATTCCATTAATAGTGTAAATGCCTAATTCATGTGATAGGCAAATTACAGACTCTGGTGTCTGTTAGCTTCCTTGCAGGCACACACAAACTTTGGCCTCATTGATCTCATCTGGTAGTGAATAGAGGCAGGGTCACCTACGGCAATCAGGTCACCCATTCTTCCTCGATGAACATGTTCCCACAAAGGGATTCCTGGGCCAGCTCATATAAACCATGAGCAAAGAAGAGAGAAGTCTTGTATTCCTCCCCTCCCTTCTCCCCCAGGAGAGTTGCATTTGTCTAAATGGCCCCCATTTGGAATAGGTCAAAAAGCCAAGTAACTTGGGACTGCTATCAATCTCTTTTGAAAGGAAGGATATAGGAGGCAGAGAAAGAGGGTCACGAATGAACAATTGCCCATGCATGGGAAAATGAAGGCAGGTAGAAATCAGGCTATAGAACAGAAGAGCATCTTACATTCTAGTAAAAAGGACAAGAGAAACAAAACCTTTATTATGATAAAATAATTGAAAACTATGGTGTTGTTTGATTTGATTATGAATCTTAGGGATACACTCCTCTCAGGGGTACTGATTAAATAAAGCCGTATCTGAATTTTGTTTCATATGCTTATGCTTAATGTGATTATTTTAAAATATATTTATTTACTATCACCCTTGACTTTTACCTCAACAATGATTTATGTATTTACTGGTCAAATTTCATTACAAAAATTTTAAGGAGTTTTGTCCTACTTTCTCGTATTGTATTAAAATAAAGAGTTGGAATTGACTAAAAAGACATTGAGTGACCTGAAAATAATTTTATTACATAGAGTTTTTTATTATAAAGTTGTTTATGGTAATATATGTGATTAAGGAGCCCTGGTGGCACAGTGGTTAACACTTGGCTGCTAACCAAAAGGTTGGTGGTTCAAACCCACCAGCCATTCAGCAGGAGAAAGATGTGGCAATCTGTTTCTGTAAAGATTTCCAGCCTTAGAAATCCTATGGGGCTGTTCTATCCTGTCCTATAGGGTTGCTATGAGTCAGACTCAATTTGACAGCAGTGGGTATGTGTATGGTATTACCTGTGATTACCATGGCTCATTTTGGAACAATTAGCCCAGTATCAGGGAGCTCTGGTAGCATAGGGCCTGAGGCACTTGACTGCTAACCAGAAGGCTGGCAGTTCAAACCCACCAGCCACTCCTCAGAAAGAAGGTTGGGCAATCTACTTCCATAGTGATACCGCCTCGGAAACCCAAGAAGGGGTCGCTACGAGTTGGGTCTGACTTGACGGCACATAACAACAACAACACAACAAGCCCAATATCACTTGTTTTTGTGGGCCTTCTGACACTGCCAGCAGTTCATTGTCTACAAAAGAGCACCAATTTTAATTTAGAAATCACTTGAAATTGAACAAATGGAAAGTAGCATAGTGGAAACAGTCACATAAAAATGGGTTCAAATATTAGCCCCTTTTCTTACTAGTTGAAGAGCTTCAGAGCAAGTTACTTAACCACTTGGGATTTTAATGTCCTCTTTTTAAATGGGTATAAAATATCTCCTTCACGGGATGGTTGACTGTATGCCATGCTCTAGGCATATGGTAGGTGCTCCGTAAATATTTACTGTAGTATTTACTTCACTGCCCAAGTGTGCTCACAGCCAATAATTTAAGTGATTTTTAGCTCATAGCACTCTTCTCCTTCTTCCAGCTTTGGTTATTCATGAAACACTCAGCAACCATCAGCAGAACAATTTAAATCCACTACTTAGTCTGCCATAGCAGACATTTAGGTGAGACAATCCTCGCCTCACCTAAACAATTGGGGAATCAAGGGCATTGCTGGTCTGAAAGGGGACATGCAAACAAGATCATGTGCCATTTATGTGGACAGGCAAGGAACCCTGGTGGCTCAATGGTTAGGCAGTTGGCTGCTAACTAAAAGATTTGTGGTTTGAAACCACCTAGTTGCTCTGCAGGAGAAAGCCTTGGCAATCTTAACTGCTTCAGTAAAGATTACAGCCTAGAAAACTATGGAAGCAGTCCTGCCCTGTCACAAGGGGTCGAAACCAGCTCTGCACCACTCAACAATAACATATTGTTGGCTGATCTATTTACTTCTACTCAATAATTGTGAATCCACTATGAGTTAGGCATTGGGACATAACCATCAACAAGATATTCATAGTCCTCCCAAGTGGCTTACAGTCTAGTGGACAGCCTACACATAAATGAGGAATTGCAGTGCTAGGTTAGAGGAGCTGTAAGAGGGAAAAAAGAGCACAGAGAAGAAATACGTTTGTGTTGATTTTCACAGCACTGAATTTTAATATTTTAAAGCAAATTAAAAAGAACTATTTTTAGTAGCTATGAAAGGTATTTTGGAAAATAATTTTAAGAATGTTGAAATATAAATGTATATATTCATTTATATTAAAAGTATTGAAATATAATACATTAAATATACTATTGGGAGCTCTGGTAGCATAGTGCCTAAGGCACTTGACTGCTAACCAGAAGGCTGATGGTTCAAACCCACCAGCTACTCCTCGGAAGGAAGATGGGGCAATCTACTTCCGTAGTGATACTGCCTTGGAAACCCAAGGAGGGGTCACTATGAGTTGGGCCAACTCGATAGCACATAACAACAACAACAACAACAACAACAAATATACTATTATTTATTTAACCTACAGATAAAAATATTTTGATAACACTCAAAAATTAAATCTTCCTTGAGATTATAAGTAATGTTTTGTTTTAATTTTATACTCATAGATATTTTGTTTTTTTCCATGGGATACTCTTTCAAAAAGGAAGTAGCTCCACAAAGGAAACTAACATTCAAAACTTATTGTATTAATAATGAAGAATGCACTGATACACTGAATTTTGATTTGAAATACACCTACATTAAACTAATGCTCGTGATTTTAACTTTCACCACTCACAAAGGAGCTTTTGGTTATTCTCTGTATCCACAACAGCAAATGTTATCCATTTCATAATTTACTACTATTTTGTCAAAAAATTGTTACATCCCACAAACACTTTTAAGTAACAAACTGAAGAAAAGGGCCATCATTTCCTCCCTAACTATATATATTTCAGAATAATCCACTTTACCTAGAGATGTAGGATTCTATCTACATTTTATTGTACTAAGTGATAAAAACAAAGAAAAGGTTAAAATATCATTTCCAGTCATTCCCTTAATAATAAAAAAGGTAACACTGTGGAGAAAAGAGTGAGAAAGATTGGATTCAGCCTTTCAGTGGGTCATGTGTATGACATCTATAATAAATATGGATGGTGTTGAATAAAACAAGATTACTGATATGTTTTATTTTAAAATGGAAATTAGTAGTTTACACTAAATGGCATTTACTTCTTCGTTTGTAAGAATGGCAGAGCACAAAGGAAAATGCTATGTTCCTGACAGCTGTCCATGCATCTGGAAAGACTGGGAGTACCTCTCAGGAGAAGTGATTGCAACACCATGTTATACCTGGTAATGAGATCCATTTATTTCACAAACTTTTCCTAAGCAATTAAGTCTCAGTCATCTTGTATTCACTTAATGTGACTGACTTCAAAAAGAAAATAAATTAAGCCTTAGCAAATAAGTCTGTAAAGACACTCAGGAGTTGGTGGAGAGCTTCTGTTTCCCAGGAATCCAAACATTATCTTTATGCATATTTATTCAGCCCAAAAGAAAAGTTGAAGTATGACAATTTGAAGACTTAATAGGAAATACTATCTTAAGTTTATAAGAAACTATGAGAAATGTTTCCAGTATAAGATCACATTTAATGGAAGTCTTTCTGCTTGGAAATAAGGCAAGATAACACTGGGTTTTTTAAATAAAAAACAACAACCTGACTTATAATTTCCTTCAAATTTGGACAAAGATTTGAAACTTGTGAGCAAAGTCATGCTAATCTGTTTAAATTGACTGAAACAGAGGAGATGACACTGTGATTATTTGGCTACCACCAGCCCTGTGTTAAAGTTTTCATACCATCACCTGTTGTCTGTATAAACTGGGCAAAATTTCTTGCCTTGTTGTGTAGTCTGATTGTTTAAACAATGTGGTAAATACCTGCCTAATTTGTCAATATAATAGATGTTATTGGAATCAAATGACAATATTTGTTAAAGCTACCGATCACTCTTGAGTACAAACCTTCTAATGTTTCTACTGCTTGAGAAACAATAGTTAGAACACAGTTTCTTAGAAATGTAACCATTGTTATTTTCTGATAGTGTTTGCCGACGAGGGATGTTCAATTGCACATATTATCCATGTCCAGCAGTGTGCACAATTTATGGGGACCGACATTATCATTCTTTTGATGGGTTGGAATATGACTATATCAGTGATTGCCAGGTTTTTTTGATAAAGGTAGGTCACAGTCTTAATTATTGATGTTATTTGCAATTGTCGAAAGACTTAATGTAAAAACAAGTCCACTGATCAATGAATGGTATCTCAAAATCACCCATCATTAACAAAACCTACAAAACATGGCAATTTTAAAGCAATTTACTTCATTGATTTTTTTTTATCATAGTAAACATGTATATATATGTATTTATATGCAAAACACAACATTTGTCAAGTCAATATTTTTTAAGTATACATTTCGGTGATCTTGATCATATCCATCATATTTTGCAAATTCGTCACTCTCCATTTCTAAATTATTCCACTGCCATGAACAAAAACTCAGTGTTCCCTCAGCAATGACTCCCCTTTCTTCCTTCCTCCCAGCTCTTGTAATCACTAATAACTATACGTTTGCCTGTTCTAGATATTTCCTATAAATGAGATTAAACAATACTTGGCTTTTTGTGACTGACTTATTTCACTCACCCTAAAGTTTTCTAGGTTCATTCATTTTGTATTGTGTATCAGAACTCCATTCTTTTTTTATGGCTGAATAATATTGCCTTATGCGTGTATACCACATTTTGTTCATCCATTCATCTGTGAGGGACACTTGGCTAGTTTTCACCCTTTAGTGAGTAATGCAAAGAGCACTGGTGTACAAGTTTCTGTTTGTGTTCCTGGATTCAGTTCTTTGGGATATATACCTAGGAATGGGATTGCTGGATGGTAGGGTTGTTCTATGTTTAACTTTTGGAGAAACCACAAAATTGTTTCCACAGCAGCTGTACCATTTTCAATTCCCATCAGCAATGAGTGAGGGTTTCAATGCATCCATATCCTCTCCAACACTTGTTTTTGATCATAGCCATCCTAGTAGGGGGTAGGTGATATCTCATTGTGGTTTTGATTTGCATCTCCCTAATGGGATGGCCAACTAATAACAAAAATAATACTTAATGATGTTGAACATCTTTTCATGTTTTTGTTGTGTATCTTTGAATAAATGCCTATTCAAGTTCTTTGCCCATTTCTTGGTTGGATTATTTGCTTTTTTGTTAAGTTTTCTTTACTCATTCTTAAGTTTTAGTATTTATAAGTACTAGGCTAGTTCTTATCCTTTCTGGGCCTCTGTTTCTTCATCTGTAAAATGAGGATAATAATTACATCTATCTCCTAGGGTAGTTTGTGAGGATTAAATGAGAAAAATATATGTAAGAATCTTAGGATTGTGTTTGATATGTATTAAATGCTCAGTAATTGTCAAGCATTTTTATTGTTTTAAGTTTGGTTTGGTGAATACAGACATACCTTGTTTTACTGCACTTTGTTTTATTGCACTCCATAGATACTGCATTTTTTACAAATTGAAAGTTTGTGGCAAGTTTGCAAGAAGCAAGTCTATCACCACCATTTTTCCAACAACATGTGCTCATTTCATGTCTTTGTGTCACATTTTGGAAGTTCTCACAATATTTCAAAATTTTCTTTAATTCTGTCACATACTTAACAGAGTATATCATACAGTATAAACATAGCTTTTCTATGCACTGGGAAACCAAAGAAATTATGTGGCTCACTTTATTGTGATAATTGCTTTATTGTGATGGTCTTGAACTAAACCTGCAATATCTTCAACCTATGCCTGTATAAATGTAAGGCATTGAACCATACATTAGATTATGTATTGTTCATGGTTATAACCATGAGACATTGTTTTCACTTCCAGAAATGTCATTTTGATAGGCTTTGATAAACCCCAGACTTTGTTTACCTGATAAAATCCTTAAAAGTTCCCATAATGTTAATGCATTTGCATTACATGTATACCTAAATTGTCTTTAGACATCACTGATCCCAGAAGTAAATTCATAAATGAAAAACAGAAGCTTTAGAAAGAACTTGCACAAGAGTAATTAACACTGTTCTAGCAAGGTAACCTGTGATGATTTTGGTGAAAGTATGTATTCTCTTCATTTTATTAGAGGTTTTTGTGTGATACTGTGTTGTAAGCATATGCCAAGAAAGTGAAGTGTTATTCCTATAAGAACAATTAAATAAAAGATGAACTGTAAATCTATAGCTTCCCAAACTCAAAACTACTTATGTTGTAAGGCACTGTATTTCCCTTTTGGTACTGCTGTTAGATTCTTTTGTGAATAATTTCAAGTGTCTTGAAGAGTTAATCTTTGAGAATGTGGACTTTGCAGTCATATAATTATAGAAGATGGCAAGTTGCCGATAAGGTGTTTTATTTTGTGATGTCATGGTTGTTTTTTGGAGCATAAGGAAGGTGCAGTGATGAATGTGCATGCTATGAGTACAATACTTGTCTTCTCAGAACAAATCTTGTTTTAGCAAGCAGTTTTATATTAGCATTGGCTATCCCCTACAGTTGGGAGGTCTGGTAGCGCAGCCTAAGGCACTTCACTGCTAACCAGAAGGCTGGCGGTTCAAACCCATCAGCCACTCCTCAGAAGGAAGATGGGGCAATCTACTTCTGTAGTGATACTGCCACAGAAACCCAAGGAAAGGTCGCTATGAGTCGGGTCTGACTCACTGGCACATAACAACAACAACAATAATCCCCTACGGTTTAGGCTGTAAATTGAGAAGCTGAGAAAAGAAGGTAACAATTTAGAGTTTTGAACACATAAACTGGTATCTCTTTCTCAAAATATGTCAAATTGATTTTGTACTAAATCCTCTTTTTCCTTGATATTTAGATGCCTCTGACACTCATTTAAGTTCCTCCATTGCCTGCCTGGATATTCCACTTTAAGTTTTGCCCTTTGATTTCTTAGATACTATGCTCTTTGAGTCTTCCAATATCTCTTCTGGTTGCCCCTTTGTCTCTTTGTTGGCTTTTCGTCTTACATTAATTCCTGACCATAGCTACCTGAGTTGGCTTCTTCAGGGGAAGGACCAAGTCTTAGTCACCATTGTTTCATCACTGACAAGCAGAAATATTTCAGATAAGTGAGATTGTACAGTATATGTCCTTTAGTGACTCATTTCACTGAAAAGACTTCTAAGTCATTGTTCATTAAATGTTTACTAAACCTGTCTGTTCTTGGCTCTTTCTCCTTTTTCTCTTAATTCTTGGTGGGTTCATTTGCTTCTTCACCACATCTACAGGCTGATAAGTTCCAGATCCACATGTATAGCTCAGACTCTTAACTGCTAGATTGTCTTTCTGACTCAAGCTCCTCTCTACAATAATTCATTTTAGATAATCTTTCTAAGCTTCACACTCTCATTGTGTCACTGAGTTTTAAAAACTACAGTGACTTTTAATTAGCAGTCTAATAAAGTAAAAATTCCTAGGCCAGTTTTTCAAGGGTCTCTGTAGATTTGATCTGTCAATTCTCTGTATCTTTTCTCAGGATTTTTTTTTTTTTTTTTTTTGGTCCCCTGTGTCTGATTTCCTCTACTCCTTCAAAGAGATGTTTCCAAGTCACATTGATCTGTTCTTCTTTTCCATCCTATTGTATTTACAGTTATCCTGACAAAAAAACAGCTCATAATATTTTGATTATCTATATGTGATCAATGAGACTGCATATCATTTTATGTCAGAAATATGCATTCCACTTGTTTCTGGTTCTTCATAGGACCAAGAACAATCATGTGTTGTGTTAAAGAGCTCAAAAATTACTTGATTTTTTTTTTAAACAATCTGCTTAGAAACCTGATTAGAACAATCTGATTAGAAACCACAAGCTTGAATTTAAAATTTCAGTTGTAGTAATCTAATAAATGTGATAAATGCATATAAATGAATTAAAGAAGAAGTTTGTAGAGCAAAACTTCTCAAACTTTAAAGTGCAAGATCACTTTGTTAAAGTGAGATCTAGGTTAAGATCACCTGGATACTGTGCTAAAATAGTAGATTCTGAGTCCATCGGTCTAAAGTCGGGTCTTAGTTTTTGCATTTCTAATCAGCTACCAAGTGATGCTGATATTCCTTGTTTACTGACCACACTTTGAGTTGAGAGGATATAGAGACTAATTTTGATTGTTTTTATAATTCTGCCATTCTTCTAAATATCCCACTATAAGTCACATGCAGGAAAAAGAATATATCTTTGACAATGTCCTGCCACACATGATAAATTTTACCTCTAATTGCACATATCATTGTTAGTTGAAGAAGCTTCTTTTTATGATATTATTTTAAGTAACAAAGTAAAAATTCTGGCAAATTTTATTGTCCTTGTTTTCTATGGAGCAACATTTACATAAAAGTGGCTACTAAAAGTGTTTAAAATGTCTTTCATCTATTACTATCTCTGCAAACATTTTCTAATGTCTGGCAAAATCCTTGCTTGAATTATTATTTCATCCATTTAACAAATCATATTTTAGAGTTCATTAAATGTAAATGTAAATTTTTCTAATAAATATTTGTCTATATATGAACTATATATAGTTATATATGTCTATATATGAACTATATGTGTATCTACAGCACATTCTCTATATGAGAGTAGATTTTTTAAAATAAAATTCTGAAGTTTTGAGGGTAGGATCACAACTTTTTTTTTTTTTTTTTTTTTTGACTCTTAAGTCATATTGCAAAATTGTATTTGGTGAACTCTTAATTGCTACTTACTTGATTAGTGCTCTGTGCCTGGCTTTTTCTTAACACCTTGTTTGTTTTTGAAGTACAGAAAGCACAATAGTTATCACCATTTTCAAATAACAATTGTGCAGAGATAATTTCAAGTAGAGTATTTGTCCCAAATCTGATTTCTGGCAAAATGAAAGCAAATTTTGTGTTTGTTGATGAATGTATTGTAGTAATTATTCTTTATTTGTGCTGTAACGTAATAGTGCCAGTCCATTTAGTAGGCAGGAGCCATTAAGGCTTGGCATTTAGCCTTTATAGACCTGATTTCCAAACTTCACTTTAATTTGCTACTGTATCCTTTTGTTAAAAAAATTGCATATGTTCAGTTTCAAATTTTTATGATATATTTGCTTGGATAACAAAAACCATGTCACAGATAACA